GTTACAATGCGGCACTCAGCTGAAGCTTTATGCAGAACTGAAGGAGATTCGTACACAAGGACATCTAAGCCTCATGTATTCTGTGTGTTGTGTGTGTCACAGGTATGTCAGGAAGATATGAATCATTCATCTCTCTTCAAATCTCAACTACTCTACAGTCAGAAAACCAGTGTACACATGCGAGCGTTGGCCCCAAGCTCAGACCAATGAGAGGGTTGGGTTAGGAAGGTCTTCTGACGTAAAATCTTTGCTAAAACAAAAACATGCAGATCAAGAATGAGATTACCATACTGGATGTGTAGAGGTCCCGGTTAGCGATGATCGCTAGCAGTGCTTACTAGTGCTAACTGACATTAGCCTTTCTGCTAAGCTGGACAAACTGTTTGATGCCCAACCACATTCAGTACAAAAGGTCAGAAAAGAGAAGCCAATGTAACTGGTCTTAAACCTTTAATAAACCTGTAGTCCTTTCAACAGCCACCAGGGGGAGATACCTGTGGTTGCAAAGAGACTCCTGCTCCTATAGAAGAAGATGAGGTCAAAAAGGCCTCGGGCCTGATCTCTAAACACTTTCCTGATGAGTTTTTGAGCTCAGACACTCATTTCTGGTCATAATGAAGAGAATATTAGTCCATTATATTAGTCAATATAAGTCCATTTCATAGGTTTTGGTCCCTCATATATGGGGCAAAAATTCGCTAACAAATGCATAATCTCCGATGTAACATATCACAAGCATTTTAGTTTCTTTTAATTTTTTTGACATTAGGAGTCACAAATGATTTCTATAACACTGAATGACAGGAATACAAAGCATGGGCTACTAATATTATTTTTTAAACGTAGTTCAAGTTGATCAGTGGTCATGAGAATTTGCATAATCATGATGAAGGAGTGGGCTGGTTTCAGTCATTAGGCAAATGTACTGTTTATAAGATTGGGGAAACCTGCAGTCAGCTGAGACTGAAGAAATCACTTGGATGAGTGAAGAATCAACTTTTGGAGATGTAGTTCAAGTTCCACAAACCACATGTTAGAATAAATGTTCCAAACAGTTAAATTCACTCTGAGCAGGAAACCACTTGCAAATATTCAACAACAGCTGAAAATCAGGGAGGGGGGAAGGAACCATGGTTGAAACACAGAAAAAGGCATGATCCGTGTATTTGTGTGAAGCTTCCTTTTCTGTAATAGCTGAACAAAACAAAGCACTGAAACCAACCGCGCCTGGAAAACGGTTTGATCACTGCAGCCGCCACAGAGAGATGAAGATCCTCATCGGAGCACAAGCTGTTGTGTCGTTTTAAACACAACTTATTACAAAGTCCTGGGTCAGTGCAACTACAAAACAACTACTGTACCCATGAAAAAGTGTTTTGCTCTGATTTACATTTGATCTCAAGTGGCAAAATGTAACATTTAAATGTTTTAAGGTTAGAAATGTGCTGTATTACGCCCCCTTATAGCGGCTTTTTTTAAGACCCAAGATGTCGTTGCTTGGCCAGGTATGTTGTAATTGTTGTAAAGCCGCCCTTAAGAACAAATAAACAAGACATTAAACGGATGAATAACAGTAAAAATTAAAAATATGCATGAATTAATTTATAAAATAAATTATATATTCATACTTTTTAAAAATGCACTGCATTCATTTACCTTTGTATTAATTTACCTATATATATCGAGACTCCTGCTTTATTTAAGAAATTATTATTATTTTTAAGTCTATGCCCTTATTTCTGCATTAGCTTCTGAACATAATGCATTCTTTTCTATATCTACCACTGCATTTCATAACAACAGGGCCTTCAATTGCCCTAATGATGAGAACTGAGGCACATACTAATTAAGCTAAGTAACAATTTATTTACCCATTTTTTACTTTATTTATTTTTTATTATTGCAGTCTTTCATACTTGAGGGGACCTAGCTGGAAGAAAAATGCCAACAGGGAAATATTATTGAGAAAAGTTTGTCTTAAAGGGTTGCTATTACATCATGAAGCGACTTTCCCTCACTTTAGGACAATGAGAATGAACAGACAAGAAAAAGATCTGGGGGAGAAAAACTGAATGAAGAACGAAAAGTAATAAATGTGAAAAAGATGAAAAACAGACAGTACGACAGAGATAGAAAAAGAGGATTTGCTAAGATAAAGGAATTAGAGTGACAAGAGAGACAATGCAGGGACAGAATTAGGGAGGAAGATAGAGGAAAAGATGATGAGGGCCACAGATACAAGATAGAAGCAGGAGGAGGTGGAAAAGGCCACAAGAAGACGTACGGGGATGTGAGTGTAAAGATAGATGGTCCCAGAGTTTGAGGGAGGGAGGGAGGAAAGGAGTGACAGAAGTGGGGGACACAAAGGGAGGGAGAGGTGGAGAGACAGATAAGAGGAGCAGAGTGGTGTGTGTAGCACAGAGATGGGGAGTCAATAATGACTGATTACTGTAATTCAGCCTGTCAGAGACATCGGCCTGCTGCTACCGCCAATCGATACGCGCCAGGACACTTTCAGACACACACAAACACCCCAAAACAAGCATGCGTGACACAAGTGTGTCACCAAGTGCACATGCTCACAAACAAACGTGCGCAGTGGGTAAACGGACGTGCACACACAGTCTCGCACGGAAACGCAGGACATGTGGACGCTAGCAGAGGTGTCTACATGTCTGCACACTCGCTCAAGATTGCTGGAGTAACACAAAAAACACAAACTGAGACATGAAGGTGGGGAAGAAGCAGTGGGCGCACAAAAACGCACATACACCTACACAAAGCTATCGGGAGGGGGGTGTTTGCTCACGAGCTACAGCCCCACACTGAGCCTAACAGCCTGTGTATCACTAGCAGAGCGAAATGGCTTCCTCTGCCTGTCCTTTCCCTCGTCTATCCACATGGTCCACCATCTTTCATCACCTGCACTATGTACGGGGCAGGTGACAAAGTAAAGGTGGGGGGGAAGTGACGCCACATGCCACCAGAACAGCACCAAGCAGTTTTGACCCTGAATCAGAGGCTCTGGAGCTGTACTGCATGGATGAACACCAATCTTTCAAAGGATTTTCTCCCGCAGAATAATGTCTAACACCTCAGTGCCAAACCCCCCACATGTGTGCACCTTCCAGGTGAACTGGATGACTTGGACAAAGTCTGATAACTCAAGCTGCCCGATACCAAAAGGCTCTACTCTTGGGAAACATAGGAAACACAAGTTAGGCTGCAGTCTGAGAGCAAAGTGCTCTACACGGATACTAAGGTATCTTAGAGATATAATGGGGACATTCGGGCTTTGCATGTGAAGAGAAGGATTTCAAATTTAATACTGAATTAAACACTTCCTGTTAGTCATCTTAGCAGCATTCTGGTAGAAATAATAAAAAAATAATAATAATAATAAGGAATTACAATCGTTCAGCCTAGAAGTTACAAGCGCCTGTTTTTCAGCATGAAGGTGATCACTCAGAAAAACTTTGTATTGACGATTCTCTTTCAAAGGGACAAGTGGAACCAAAGCATGTCTGCACAAAGTCCCTCACGACAAAACTGGATCCTCTCACTGTAGGGAATAGGGATTATGTTTTTCCTTTAATTGGTCATCAGGCAGTTTTGAACACAATGAAAAGAGAGAACACAAAGATATGCACACATACATGGGGACAATTACTGTTTTGGTTTTTGTGCTTGTTTGTTTTTTAGTTTCACAGTCTTACTTTAAAAAACATATTGGTTTAAAAATGTTAATTAATCTGCATGTTTTTATATTGATTCACTTGGATTTCTGTATCTCTTGTGTCCATGTAAGTGTAATCAAGAGTGTGTATGAATGTGGATACTTATCTGGCTGTGTGTCTCTGAGACCAGAGAGCAAAGCCTCTCATTTAGGAACAGCATTAGAGAGGAGAGTCATCGATAATTATCGACCACGGCTTCTTCCAAACCATCGCTTCGGATCAGGCAGACAGACTGCATGCACACCTGTCTGTCTGCCTTTCTCTCCTTGCACACACAGATGCACTGACACACACATATACACACCCTCCGAATGTGCATCCCAATCTTCTCTGTCTGGCCACGCACGGATAAACACGCACACTTGATATATAGCACTTCAGAGGCAACTAAATGCAGCTCTATCAAACGAGCTCTCATATTCTGAAAGCTGCACAGCACTGGACATTGATTTGCTATTCTTAATCCTCCGACCCAACATTCTCGCTCGCACTCACACGTGCAACGATTTCAAAAGCCCACACAGTAAAACGACATTCTCACAACTTCAATGTAAGTTTTTAAAACATCTCATCATCTGAGAGCATGTGGAGTTGTGGATGACAGGGCAATAAAAAATTAAATAAATAAATAAATATCAAGGTGATGCAAAACTGCTAAAAATAGTTTTAGAATGCATTTAGTGGACTTAGAATTTAATGTAACACTAAAAAAGCTACAACCACAGTACAGAAGAAAAAGACCTTTTCTGCACGAGGCTGCAAAGGACGATATGCTGTCAGCTGTCAGCAAGCCTACCTGCTTCAGTGAAGGTTAGACACAGTGATATTTAAAGTGTTTTGCAAACTCTTTCAGGCCAATAATAATAAAATAATCCCCTGAATTCTTCTGAGAAATCATTTGGAAAAAAAGAAAGAAAGAAATTAGATATGTATTTGGTGGGACTCTCGTTCACCTTGATACTTAAAACTTTGCAAAGTGCAGGAATAGCTGAAGTCTTCAGACCTAAACAGAGAGCTGGTAATAGCATAAATCCACGTGCTGCAGACCTTTGAGTTTTGAATGAAGTTTTTTTTCCTGAAGTTTGTGGCAAAAGAGTCTTGTGAGGTTAAATATCTCTTAAAACGCAAACATAATACACAACAATATAAATAATATGCTAATATAACACAAGAAAAGAGAAAAACCAGAGAGAAAAACTCATTTTCAGCATCCTACCTTTGCCTTTTTATCCTAAATTTTCATATGAGGGTTTTAAAGGATACAAGTTCTGGTAGAGAGGGATGAGGGATTTAAGGGCCCGGCTCGCGTTGATAGCTGTCGCTCTCACCATGGTGGGCAAAATCTTCATGTCCACAATGGCTCCATCAAACAGCGGACCAAAGAAAGGAACCTACAGAGAACAAAACTGGCATTAAATCCACATTTATTCCTTTATATAGTTCAAATTAGATTTTTTTTTTAAAGAAAACCCCGAAAAGTCTAGATTTTTATGAAACAGTGGGAGTTCTCAGTTCTAGTGAACCGACCCTGACAAGGAATGATTGACGCCACAGATTTTTGTAATGATACAATATTTGATTCAGGCTTTGACTTTCCCATATAATTCAATGCTTTGCTTGTGGAATCCACCAAAGAAACTAATGCCGGACTTTTATTGAGTTTATTTGTGGACCAGGTCTCCAAGCCATGCGCTCTGTGGCCGAATACATGTGCTTTCAGGACAACAACAAAGGGAATATCTTATCTAACTTGTTTTTGGATTCATGATAATTCAATATTTTCCCCTGCAGAATGAATGAAAGAGAATACGATTATGTTATTAGTGCTGTGGTATCTATGTCACAGAGAAAAAAAAAGCAGCATTTTATTGTGTTAGGGCTTGTTTGAAATAGAGTTATGCCATCAGTGCTGTGGTATTAATGTCTGTGTGCTTTAGACTGATACATTAACCAGATCAGAAAGACTTGGGGCAAGACTCTCTCTAGGATTGTTAGTCAATCTGGATGCATATCTGTGGGGTCTGGTAGGAAACATAAAATCATGGACCAAATATTGTTCTCATTTTTTTTCTCCAACCAAACTTTCCCCAAATCCACACAAGTCTAAGTATAAAAAATGGCTAACTAAATAAGACTTTTAATAAGTGAACATTTTACTTATTCTCCAAATGTATGAAGATTCGCAGCATCTTGTAACATCTTTACAAACAGTCTAAAGATGACAACTGTTGTTATTTATCATATAAATAAAAATTAATAATTAATCTATTTTAAATTGAGTATATTAACATTTCATTGTTGCTTTGCCACAAATACAGCTTAAAAAAGTGTTTCGATCTTTCCTTTAATTTGGCACTGCTGCCACTGATAATGGGAACGATTACATTGATTGGCCAACAATTCCCACAAAAGGTGACACAGATAGCCATCAGTGATAAGCTCAGAGAGCAGTTAAATGACCATGCCAGGTTTTAATAATGAGCTTAAAGGTCTTGCTTCAGAGGCAAGAGGATTGTGTGTAAGGAACAACTGCCTAGTCCTGCGTGTTTACCTCTGGTTTTTTGAGTATGTGGATGGAATACATGTGGTTCTTCATGGGGTAGATGATGATTAGCACATCTCCGAACTCAGTGGGGATGATCCCGCGGCGGTAGTCCCTGGAATGTTCTGACCAGACGATGTGGACTTCGTCGTTGCCAAGATGTCTGAGCTGGAGAGGCAAAAAAAAGAAAAGAAATTAATAGAATCAAAATGGAAGAAAAATATTATTATTAACATATAACATTATTACTCAAACACCAACATTGACCGAGAGGGGTCTGCAAACTGAGCTGGATAGGCTTTATCCATCATAACCCCAAGGCTTTGAAGTCTGTGTGCATATGTGGTTTAGGTGGCCCTGGGCGTGATGGAGTGAGTGTGTGAAGATGGAGAGTGGACAACAAGACAAAGTGAAGCCCCGGAAAGATGGAGTAGGGGCTGGAAGACAGATGGGATTGTGTGTGATCCTCTGACTGTGTGTGAGATTCACACCCACGCCGACTACAGTCGGGGCTGGTGACAGCTCAGTCATTAACCTTGATGTCTGCCAAAACACACACCCCCACCTTCCACCTCCCCACACAGAGGTCTCTGTACACACCTTCTGATAGCTGCCAGTCTTGTCCTTGGCCATGAGACAAACACGCTGAAGACAGATCCTTTTAAATGTTTAACTGCAGTTACTTTTATGACTAACTAAATAGTGCACCGGGATGCAAAGTTTAATGATGTAATTTGGTTTGTAGACATCACAGACTGTATTTTACACATGGTGGTATTTATGCTACACTACCCGTTACATACATAAGTGCCTATAACTTAGCTAGTGCAGTTCAAAGACTAGAACTAGTGAAGGTGAGGCCTTACAGTCTACTGTCAGCTTACTGCTGCCCATCAGCACTGAAAGAGATGAGTTACAACAGCACAGTTGTTTCGACGGGGATATTAGTTATTAACTGGGTTATTTTAGTCTTTGTGAACTGACTCACTTGTTTAGACAGCCTCAAGTGGCCACTGGAGGAATTGCAGGCGATCGTGGCTCAAGAGTTGGGAGTTCGCCTTGTAATCGGAAGGTTGCCGGTTCGAGCCCCGGGTTGGACAGTCTCGGTCGTTGTGTCCTTGGGCAAGACACTTCACCTACGGGTAGGTGGGCCACGGGCCGATGGCGCAATATGGCAGTCTCGCTTCTGTCAGTCTGCCCCAGGGCAGCTGTGGCTACA